CTCTTCTTCTTTTTTTTGCCATTTCGTTCTCTTTCTGTCATTATTTGTCATTATTTACCTGTCCATTGGAGTAATTTCCTTGTGCTATTGAGGGAAAATGTTGGTGGCGATATTCTGAATAAACAGGGCAAGGCAGAGGTGTAAGGACAATATTACATCCTGTTGTCATTATTGTTGTGGGTGTTGATGATTGTGCAGGAAGGGCTGGCTAGAAAATCAGAGCTGGCTAATATTGAGTTACTCCTTCCCGAATGAGTTCGTCTTCACTTAGAAGACCTTTGGAAAAGGAGGGAGTGTCAGCGGGCTGAACATCAGCCCTCAGGCTAGGCTCCAGATGAGCCCCGAGGGCGAAGAATCAGCACCGTCTGAGAGGGAACTGAACGTCCAGCAGTGGAGAGGTCCTGGATGAGACCACGGGCTAAGAGCTGGCTCGGTGTAGGCTGGAAAAGCAAGTCATGGTCAGCGTGGGATGGCGTGGGAGGAAGAGACTAATGCAGCCAAAAGTCCTGCGAATGGCTGAACAGCACCGGCTGGAGGACTGGCGCAGAGGTCCAAAAAAAATGGCGCCATTCACAGATCCGGCTAATTCTGCCAGGTGTCAAGATGACCCAAATGTTACATGGGTCGACGCGCGTTCGTGTTCAGCCGTGGGCCGCATTTTGCCGCATTCAGAGTGTCAGAGCGTGCCCAAGTTGGCACCAGATCCTGGCCGATGTGTCACGTTGTGAGTCACATTGAGTGGAGCCCACCTCGTGTGGGAACTCTCTCGTTCACAGTTACATCAACGATGCACAGTAGTACCATCATCCGCTGAGTCAGGAAAAAATGTGTTGTCATGAGCTTTTTAACTCCTGCACTCCACGTTTAAGAGCCAGATTGGCTCTGCGGTGTTTTAGCTTTTTTAAACTCTTGGATTAATTACTCGAGCCGGCCTTCTGTGCGGTGCTGTTTTCAGTCTGAACGCCCAGTTGGACAGTGCTCCTCCCCTCCACCATCAAAACACCAAACAAGGGATAATATTTTTGGAAGAACGGTGTTCATCCCTTCAGTAGAGTTTCCCAAACATATAAATTTAGAGAACCGACGACAAGGAGCGTTTCAGCTGTTCTGGTGGCTGGCGGTGGCCTCCAATTTGCCGACCATCTGTAGCTTCTGTTTGGTGTTAAAATGTAATTTCAGTTTACAGATTGTGAAAACGAGCATTGACCATTTCCACAATGAAGTGCTTCATTCCTCCATTCGTACCGGTATTGGCGCCTGGTTGTCACGATAACGCACTAGAAGCAGCTTGTTTCGTCTGTCCGCCCACTCTGTTTTTCTTGTGACCCGGTTCAGCAGAGGTTAATGCCGTTAGCCACGCACAGCTGCGAGAGGCCCGAGCCGTTGCTAGATGAGCGCCGCTCAGTCCGCAGGCCCGATGGCTGGGAAGTCTGGGAGGCTGTCGGGAGGCTGCGGCGACGTCTGACTTATGATGATTGGAGTTAATACCGTGGCGAGACAATTGGCCCACCTGCTAGCGTCTCACCGCCGTAGCCCACTGGGTGAGGAGTCTGGGCTTCCCTCCACCGGCCGGGCTGCACGGCTCGATGCACACGAGGAATTCAACACGGCCTACCGCTGTCGCCCTAATTTGTGATCCTCGAATACGTAGCTCGCTGTGGAATTAGATTCATTATAAGTCTCACTCCACTCCTGTAATGTGGGGCTGCAGGGTCATATAAATACATACCAGGAAGTAAGGTGTCAACCGACAGGTTGAGCTGTGAGACACGAGGCTGAAATAACCCTCATTGCAGCAGATTTTGTATTATCAATACGTGCACATGCACCAAAAAAAGCAACACGACAAATATTACAGTGAATGACCTTGGAAATGAATAGTTGAGTGGGCCAGTAGACAGGCTTTAGTGCAGCCAATTACCAAATCAGTTCTAAATTTTAACAGACTTCCCTTCTGCGCCTTTTCTCTTCTTTTCATCCGCATCATTAAAAAAAACTATTTACAATGGGCAGCAGGAAAGGATGATCTCTAATGCCATTAGCGGAGGCAACAGCTTCGCTTTTGATAGCTCCTGCTTTGAAAAATGGACAGAATCCCCACTCTAATGGGGTGTTGTTGTATTCATCAACAGGGATTATTTTTCATGTAGTCTAATGTACAAAGCTGTTGTTGTCGTATTTAGCAATTGATCTGTGCACACAGTTTTTTCCCAAAACAGATTATTTTATGAAATATTCAGCAAGAGAACTCTTCAGAATGACTTATTTCCTGGTCCACGGTAGCTCTGCTTTAGTGTGCTTGGAAAAGGTCCCAAGTCAGACACACTAAGACTGTAACGTCATCGAAACAGCTGGAACGACTTCGGTTTGTGTTGAGTTTATATCACTTCGGAACCAGGAAATGTAGTTTGCCCCTTGGGTGCTTAGTCACCTTTACTCTCTGTGAATCAGCACCGCAGTTAAAATGTTGTAAATGCAAATTTGATATTTAGTCATTTGATTGCTGCCTGTAGGAGAGAGTTCCGCGGAGGTTGACTTGGTGCTGCTTGGCCGCAGAGAAAGCATCCTGTATCGACAGTCTGAACCCACCTAATCATAGAAAATCAGCTGCACTTTATACCTTTCAAACCCCGGAAATCTGATCCTTACATTTAGCTAGTACAAATTCTCTGCTCATTGTGTCCGCAAACTGCATGCAAGAAGAAGCTTTTAGATGCGCAGCAGTGCTGACTGGATGCCATTTGTCACTGCAAAGCTGCATTTGATCTGACCCCTTGACCCCTCGGCGGTGCAGCTGGAATGCAGCTTGCGTTTGAAATGTACAAAGATGACGCAGGAAGAGATCTCCCCTCGTTGGTGGTTCATTTTTTGGTGTGTTTTTTCACAAGACAACCTTTCCGAGGAGAAATTGTCATTCAGTAAAGGCAACCACTGTTTTCTCTTAGATCAATTAGATCAACGCCGGCCAGCCAGAAGACCGGGATGTGCGCCGGGCTGCACACACACACACACACAAGCACACACACACACGCACACACACACACACAACACACACACACACAACACACTTGATTGAAGCATCATCGTCAATCAGTTATGGAGCTTGACAAATTTCTCACCCTCTGCATAAAGAGGAGCACGCACACATGAGCTTATGTGCTCGCATCAACTTTTAATCCTGCCAGACCATTAAACAGGAGAGCAGCTCCTTTGGCTCCTTAATGGAAATTACCTTTTCAAAGCCTTCAGAGAGAGATGTTAACCTTGTGCGCTACTTGTGGCATTAAAAATGGATCAAAGCAGCCGAGCTTTGATGTTCGACGGAAGATCTCATTTGGGTCGCGGCTGCAGACACCCCCCCCCCCCCTAGCGCCCTCTGCTGGGACAACTTGCCGTCTCGGCATTGCGATGTCCTGGTGTGATTCTGTGTGTCGTAATTGCTTTAGCCCAGAAGTCCCCACTTGTCGGAGCAATAAGCGCGATGGATAAAGACACAGTCAGAGTTACAAGTGGAAAGGGAGGCAAAAAGAGAGGGAACAAAAGACACAGCGGCTGTTTCCTTTTTTCTTTTCAGTCAGTCCATCAATCAGGTTTTGTTATGCAACGTAAGAGCTGATGTGGACTGTCTGGGGTAATGTGTCAGTGGAGGGGGAGGCACCTCTGGGGGGGTTGTGTTGCTGATGATTGGGGGGGGGGTTGAACTAATGACCCTCAGCGGGCAGCCTAAAAACCTGGCTCCCCTCATATTGAGTCTCCCCCACAGAGCTCAGCTCTGGGAATGAACCCACTGTCCAAAGAGATAAATGACTTTTGGGGAGGAAGAAAGATCACCTACCTGTGTGTGTGTGTGTGTGTGTGTGTGTGTGTGTGTGTGTGTGTGTGTGAGAGAGAGAGAGAGAGAGAGAGAGCTTGTTGGCTGAAAAGAGATAGAGACCAAAAAAAAGATAGACGGAGCTATTTTGCAGTGTGTTTGTGTTTCTATTGGAGAGAAAAGCCAATTGTGTGTGCATTCATGCAATTCCTCTGTGGACGCAGACACTGCGCTCCACCGCCAGTGTGTGTGTGTATGCGTGTGCGCACCCTTGTGTAAAGCACGGAGTTTGGGGGGGGGGAGAGATGGAGACAGATAGAGAGAGTGAAAAAAAGAAGACATAAATAATTGATGATAGATACCGCCTTGCATCTGGCGCCTGCTGCCGTTGAGCTTGTTCAAAGTGGATATTGATGCAGGGACTCGCTAAAAACACAGCGTAACCGCCCCTCTATTCTGACCTCATTACCACGTTAGAAGAGCAACAATGCATAGCTTTCAAAAAGGGCAGAGGGTGACATGCTGTGAAAGAGATGCAAAAGGTTTCCGCCTCAGATCATGCCTTTTTTTGCTTGCCATATTATTTAACAACGGGGGGAAAAAATCAACCGATTCCTACTCGTCGTGAAAGAGTCAGAACAGAAAGGGTCCAAATGGGATTGTTAATTAATTGAAAATTGGCTCGTCGTGGAGTCTCCCTGGCTGCACTGGTGCCACATATATCGGTTAAAAAAACAAATGGGTGAGGCTGTTTGGAGAGACTCGATATGTGATTGACTTTAGTGTATTTAAGTTGTCCTCCCTCCCTCCACAGGCCTATTTTCTCTCAGTTTGCCTCATTAAATCTTGTGGAAATTCTCCAACTCTTGAAGAGACTTTCTTTTGATTAGGCTATAAACAAATGGAGGAGTTGGTTGACATCTCCCAAGACCAAAGCCCTCCTTTGTTTTGCTGCTGCACTGTTGCTGCCCCCCCACTCTGACAGGACTGGAGTACTATTCCCCAAAGCCTTTATTCTCGCTCATTTTATTTTTTCCCTGTTTCCTCACCCAACTCCAACCCCCTCTGCCTTTGTTAAAGACGGCTCCTCAACCACTCCCCCACCCCTCTCTCTCTCTCTCGCTCTCTCTCTCTCTCTCTCTCTCTCATTATGCGCTCATCCGTTCCGCTGGCTGAGGGCTGAGAGAGGAGCACTCAGGAGGAGTGTTTGGGAAACCAGCGACACGCCGCTGCTGTTTTCTCCAATAGAAAAAAAAGAAAAAGTGGACCGAAGTGTCAGGAGCTGCTTTCCCTTTTTAACAGCACTCCTCCTCACTCCCGTTTACTCTTCTCTCTCTCTCTCTCTCTCTCTCTCTCTCTCTCTCTCTCTCTCTCTATATTGCCGTGTCTGGCTGCTGAGTTCTCCCATTGACTCACTCGTCTCTGCTTCAGCTGGCTGACTGAGTGCGCTGACACTGGGACCACTACCTGCTGCCTGGGGATTAAGCGCGCTATGAATACCCGGAGCCTAATTTGTTGTTTTGGCTGCCAGTGACTGTCGGATCCCCACAGAAGACAAGCCGGTGCATAAATCCTTGCGGCCAGCGCGCTGGGAGCACCTCTGGACTAAGACAAGCCACGGAGAAAAGAAAGGGACTGGATGCTTGTGGAAGTGCATAAAAGAGAGGCGACGAACCGGAGAATAGAAGGAAAAGGCTGGACAAGTTCTTTCCTGAAAAGGCAGAAATACAAGAAGCCAAATCAACCTCGGTCTTGCGAGGATCGGGGCGCAGTGAGAACCTGTGCCTCTCATTATCTGGCTGGGATTCTCCGTCATGGTGCTGACACAAGGGAAGAAAGCCCAACAAATCTCCGCCTCGAGCTCCTCGGCTGATTTCTGATCACACACGCGGGTTTTTTTCTTCTCCCCTTTCTTTCCACGAGTTCATACATATAGAGCGTCTCTGTGTTTTGTTGCTCATCCGTTCGCTGCTTGGGGGCTGGGGGAGAGAGAGAGAGAAGAAGAAGAAGACGGCTCTGCACTGACGGGGATTGCGATCCTTCTCCTCTCCCAACTTTTTTTTGTCCCCCATCTCCGGCACTCCTCTGACCTGCTTTTGGTCCCAGCGCACCAGCGGGGTGGGTGGAGCTGGGGGGTGGGCAGCTGCTTATCCATTCCATGAGACTGGCCCGGAGTAAAGGGTTATTGAACCGAGGAGTGGCAGTCACGCAGGAGAGAAGGGAAGGGGAAAAAGAAACGGTGAACCCGGGAGCATGTGGTTTAGCGATCGGCAGCCAGCTGCTGTCCAGCCGTCCCGCTGATCACGCCTGTGACGGACGCTCCCGGACCGTAAGCCGAAGGAGCCGGTCTCCAGTGGATACAAAAGAGCACTCGCTCTGGGCAAACCGCTGCTCGGTTTCGCCTTCGTTGCCCCGACAGCCAACACGGAGGCTGAAGAAGATGTTCGGCGGTGTCACCTGTTAGGGAAATACTTGTGGCACGTGTTGTTGGCGAGCGCCAGACCTCGGCTTGGTGTGTAAAGGCTTTTGACAAGGAAAGCAGGACGGGGGAGGTGCTCCAGACCCCCTTTACGTCCATCTGATTACCAGTCAGGTTCACGGGGAAGAAAGGAGAGGATTCCATTTGTGGATTTACCGTCGGCCTGCGTGGAAGTTTTTTTTCCGTGTGGATATTTGACAGTTCGAAACGCCCACATCCCAACGCACACATTTCTCACCACACGTACATGCTAAAAGCGCACTGACGCACATTTACAAACACATTATCACCACTTAAATCCACACACGCATGTTTGCACTGTAAGTATAACCCGCTTCACAAGACACAGTCACAGATTGAAAGCCCATTACTTTGTCTTCCCCCCCCCCATTGGGAACAGCAGAATGGAGGTTGTGTGGACAGGTGGGGGGCTGTAGGAGTCCAACATCCTTGTCCCCTCTGTCTGTCCACTTTCGCCAAATGGATGTTATTATCTCTAAAAATGTGTTGCCTGGAAACCGCTGAAAGCTTGCTGCTGCGATTCTCTGACGGAAACAGTCACCACGTCCTCGCCACGGTGCACGGCTGGAACCGCAGCTGAAACACCGGCCATTACGCGTCCATTTTTACTTTTATTTTATCTTCACCTTCACCTTCACCCCCGGCCCTCACCCCGCCGCCATCATTTTTTCCAACGGGTCTTTGGGCAACCCTCGTCGCCCTCCGCGTCCCGTCCTCTCCTCCACCCTGGAGGGGAGGGGGTCGCTGGAGTGGAGCATGAGCGGGTGCCACTATCCCTCGCCGCCGCCGCAGGAGCAGGAGCGCAGGTACCAGCACAAGGTGTCCCTGGTGGTGCGCTACTTCATGATCCCCTGCAACATCTGTCTGATCCTGCTGGCCACGTCCACACTGGGCTTTGCGGTGCTCCTGTTCCTCAACAACTGTACGTTGGTACAACCACAAACAGCACAGTTTCACTTTCATAACACCGAAAAACGAATGGGTCACTGCTTGGCAAAAGAATACACACCCTAAATCAAGTGTTGGCGTAGCCTTTCTAGACAGAATTTAGGTGGAAGTGAATTATTTTGCATTTAAAGTCACAGCCCCCCTATTCCTTGATTCTGTGTGCGAAAATGCTTCATATCTCCCGTCTTAAGACTTGGCATTTACTTTAATTAGGAAGAATTAAATGGCAGACTAAATGCCTGTGTAGGACGCAAACATGTCCTTTGGCCTACAAAGCCTCAACCCCTCCCTTACTGCTTTATACTTGTCTTGCTGTATGTTGAAAAGTGCAGCTCATTGAGAGCATCATGTTTGTAATGTTTGTGAGGCTGAGTTACTTTGATGATGGCCATCACAGTAGATTCTTTGGTCAAAGAGTGTCCTGACAAGAGAGGTAATTGCTTTAGTGTTTTCTTCTTGTTAAACCCCACGCTGGGTATCATTTGAAACGTGTCGACACTGGGGGAACTTATTCATTCTCCTAACTCCTTCACAGACTCGCGCAAATCTACTTCTGAGTGCCCTGCCTGCCTTGTTTAGACTGTGTGAATGGCAAAAGTCCTTTCCAACTTCCAAAGTGGGCTATTAGCTATGCAAGACTTGTGCCCCATGATCATGAGGAAATAAGGTAAAAAGACAGTTATTTTCAGGTTTGGAGGTTGAAGTGGGGAGAGGTTCGTTAACGTGGCTGCTGTTCCGTGTCAACCCTGACTTTCTGTTATTCTGTTCCCAGGCTGTTGACTTTTCAGCCCCGCACAAGGCAAAGTACCCGTCGTCCTTTAGATGCACCTCTTTGCATCCGTCCACTTCTTTTCCAGTGTCTTTCTATCGTCTTTGTCGCTCTTTCCTTCTCATTTGTTAATTGGCTGATGTGGGTGACCAGGATGCGGGATGGTTCATTTTGTAACCTCGCTGCTGTGTTATCGAATCCATTCCAGCCAGACGGATTATATTAGATTTAAAGCAAACCCAGTTAAAGCGGGCCGATCTCTGCCTTTCAGAAGCGTTCGCTGGAGGAGCTGATGAAATGAAAAGGGGGGCTCTCTTCTGCTGCTGGAGCCACAAGGACAGCTGGATAGGATGGTGTTAGTGCTGGTAGGGCTGACGTGTGTATGTGTGTGTGTGTGTGGGGGAGGAGGGGTGTCAGAGGAGCAGCGTAACCTCAGATTCGTTCTTTCTATTGTCACCATATGGGGTGAGGCATGTCCACACATACACAGTAACCAACCCCCCCCCCCCCCCACTGCCTGCCAACAGAGCCCACATACCATGTGTGACTATACGTCAACCAAACCAATAGGGGGAAGATGACATGCATTCAGTGATGGACTCCCGCACATATGGCTAAATGTCACCGTCAGACACATATTGATTCGCTGAAGATATAAGATGAGTGATGGCCCCGCGCTGACATTCAGCACGGGCAACTCATGCGTGCTCTGCCAGGTGCAAAGGGAGATGGGGAAAGACCTTATCTTGTCCTTTCATTATGGGAATGTGACGAAATCGTTTAGCGTCGCCCGGCACTCTCTCTCTCTCTCTCTCTCTTTTTGATTCGCAAGTGCTACAAAGTGTTGCACGTGTTCAGGCCTGTTCGCGGAAATGCGAGACAGGAAGGGTAGTCTGTGCGTGGATGTCTGCTTTTGTGTTGTGCGCTCTCAGCAGAACTTCTATATTTCCCACAATTTCTGTTTCACTCATTTTATATGTTTTCTTGAATTCCCCCCCCCACCTCCTCTCCCACCCCAGATGGAAATCAGTTACCGTCATGACTGACTGGCAAACAGCTTCAGCCGACACTTCATTATTCACCTCTAGCAACAGTCTCGCCTCGCCTCTCCCCTCTCTCTCTCTCACACACTTTCTCTCCCCCTTCTACCCTCCCCGAAGCCCCGGCTGTTGACAAGCAATTTTAAGTTAGCCTAAATTTAAAAAACTCGGCTGCGTCTCGGGGACGCCGACGGGTATCGCGGGAAGGCTTCGCGACGGCGGTTGACAGACAAAAAATAAATAAAAATGTGTTAGCGGGCTAATTGATGTGATGTGTTTCATCTTCGTCATTATCCCTCGCAGTGCAGAGACGTCGGAGTCCTCTCTGAATGCGCTCGTGTTGGTTGGCGCGCGCTCGGTAGCAGGCAGCTCTGACGACTCGCCGGATCTCTGCTCAGTGAGTCGGACGGCACCGAGGTGCCTGCCAGAGTGCAGATGGCGGTTTGGTTTTGTTTGCGCTCGGTACACCAGTGCCCCAGTGCATCGGGATGGCCTTTTCGAAGAGGCTTTCCATTTTGGTGGAGTTGCCTGGTAAATGATGCCACCAAAGTCATATCTGATCAGCAGATTTTTATTTTGTGTGAGAAATAGATAAAATGGGGCTGTTTTCTTTCTTTCTTTTCTTATTTTTTTACATAACGTCGGTCTTCTTACTTTGCTTATAGCTCTGTATCATTCAGTGTCCATGGTATCTGTATGCACTTTACATAGTTGGCAAGCTATTGGCAGATATCCCACAAAATAATGTAATAATCCACAACTTGAATAGGCGACCAATCGTTTAGCAAGCAAAGACGCCAAACACGGTCCGGTTCCATCCTGTCAAATGTGAGGATGTGGTGTTCTTCTCTTCTTTATATTTGGAATAGAATATGTTTTGGTTTGTTTGTCGCACAATATATCAGCAATCTGAAGACACCCGCTGAGGCTCTGGGAAATTGCTTTTTCAGTCTTTTCTGGCGTTTTGTGGCCTAAACAATCAACGGTAGGATCGAAAAATGATCATGAGATCAATCAATGCTAAAAATACATGTTAGCTGCGCTTGGTTTGTGCTTTGTCACTAACTTCATCCCCCATTTTCCTGCCAAAGAATGTCAAAGCAAACTGCATGTTCTGCATGCACCTCCACTACATACACCTGGCATTGATGCATTTGCATTGCCTGGTCGAGATCCACCTCGTTTTCAAGCGTAAAAGCGTCAAAACTGCAAAGGACTCATGTTTCCTGAGATCTTCCCCCGGTGTTTTACCCGATACTCAGTCATCTGACACGTCTTGTTTTATGGCTCCCACGAACCGACAATCCTTATGTCATCGTCTGGGTGTTGACCAGGAGAGTAGCATGATGTCATTTGATATATTGGGGGGGGGGGGACTGATTTATCCTGCATGTGGTTGCTTGGGGAGGCGGGGGTGGGAAGTGAGTGGGTTTTCACTGTGTCTTCACCGCTGTGGAATTTAAAGAAATATTATCTCGCACTCACTCGCTCGAATCTTATCACACGCTCACACACACACACAAACCCCCCCCCCCCCCCGAGTGTTTTCAATTCTCATGTGCTGTTATGATATCAAAAGTCGCGCGGTGTGGTTTGGGATGAGAAGACCATGAGAACAATGAATGACAAAACAATCGCGATACCGCTGTCGCTGAAATGTCCTCCTGTCGATTAGCCCAGCTGGGGTCCTGTGGTGGCCCCCGGTCACTGCATTAGAATGTGTTAGATAGGAAAAAGCCGAGCCTGTGGACACAATGTGTGTCTTTTTGTGTAGCAACTCAATTGCTTTGCCCGCACCCCCTGGGAAGTCTCCCCCAAAACTAAAAACCTTTTCTCTTTTATCTCTTTCAGACAAACCTCATCACTTCACACCGCCCCCGCCTCCTGATGGTAAGTCCTCTGTGGGGGGTTTTTCTTTCTCTCCGCTCCTCGCCTCCGTTGACCGCTGCTGGTGTTTTGGAGCTGTACCTGTGAATAATGACCTCGGACAGCGCATTCTCTGCCTTTTTGAAGCGGCCAGACGTCTGTCTGCGCGGTGCCAGATTCGGTCTGCTCCGCTCTTTTTTTTGTCTCTGCACAGTTGGTATGGCAGGCACGCGGCCAGGTCTGCTCGGGGCTTTGATGTGAGAGGGATCTTTTGATGACTTGATTTGATCTTGCTCCGCACAGCTAGTTGGGGTGATGTTCACTACCTGTTACCACAGCAGCATTCACATACTTCTGATGGAGTCTAATGGGATAACCCCCCTTCCCCGGGTAGTTTACATGGCCTGAGTCTGCTGGGGGTCTGCTGGTCAGGAGCGCAGAGCAGCACCATCACCTCGTTCCAGCCCAGACATATAAATCTTCGCAATGGGTGCCGCATTGTTTCAGTTCTTTTTTGGCCTAGTAACATGAGCTTTTAATTAAAAAAAAACACAAACGAAAAAACATTTTTTTCCAAAACAGTGGCTCTTGGCAGGCTTTAATTGGAGGAAAACAGCTGTTTTTCAAGCTGCTATCATGAATATTTATCAGAGGCAGCGCAGTGAGTGAGTGTTGGATGGACTTTTTTGTTGTTGTATTTTTCTTTTTACTGCACATGACAGGCAGCCAGGGACGGACTCACTAGTTCTGAAGGTGTCGTGTCATCCCGCCTGTGTGTAAGCTACAAAGGCCGAGGTTCGTGGGGAGAAAACGCGAGGGAAAAAAAAAATGTTTCTAATGATCGCAGCCGGCCAGCTGATGTCGGGGACAAAAGGCCACAGTGGGGGCTTTCGGAATCTGTTTCTGGTAATTGCTCGATTCACTCGCCCCACGGGCCAGCTTGTTTGGACAAAGCGGTTCGCGAGAGACGCCATGCTTTAAAAAGGGGGGGGGGGGGGG